TTTATTGTTTTTTTTTACATGAGTGATATTCTTTACATGTTGTCTGCAGACCCTTATGTCTGTGTATACGTATATACACACACATACATATATATAAATATACATATGTGTATGGGTATATTCCATAATATCTGTATAACATAGATTATTTCTCTTATTTGTGACAGTTTTTCACTGTCATGACAATGTTGCCTTGAACATTCTTGTAAATGCCGTTTTGGGACATAGTTTCAAATTTTCCAGGAAAAATACAGAAGAATTTAATTATTAGGCCATAGGAAAACAATTCTTCCTTTTATGTCCTCCTAATAATTTTCTGTATATGTGTTTTAGAAAGAGTCCTAACTAATGGCTGGTATATCAAAAGAAGTTCTTTTCTTGGTATTTTAAAATCCAGGTTTTTATGCTGCTCTCATTTGAATTCAGTCTTTTGAATAAATTTAGAATTGATAAGGATAAGCAAAATAAGTTCAAAGTAGACATACATAGATCAAAACCATTAAGCTTTTGGGAATAGGTGCTGTTTCAGTGGTGGGGAAATTGTCATTTGAGAAGATTATCTCTCTTAATCATGAAGTTGTTTTTTCCAACTCTTTCTCTTCTTCCTTTGGAATTATGACAACTGGATTCATAGGTGCTATGAAAATATCTTCTCACATTACACATCTTGTTTAATACTAGTTTGAAAAATCCTGGAAAATAACAGGTTTTGATACTGTACCCTTGCTTTAAAAAAAAAAAGTATTGGTTTGGTGAAATCTGGAATACCCACTTCTCATGAGAGTGTCTAGTTCATTTTTTTAGGTATGAAAACTTTTATTAAAAGGACATTCTTTACATGAATAACTAATATCAGAAATGAAAGGGAGGGGCCATCACTAAAGAGCCCATAGACTTCAGACATTAAAAGAGTAACAAAGAAATACTGTGAACAACTCTTTGCCCACAGATCTGATAACCTAGATGAAACAGACCAGTTGCTTAGAAGACACAATCTTGCAAAACTCAAAAAAAGAAAAAATAGACAATTTGAATAAGCCTGTATCTGTTAAGGAAATCAAATCAATAATTATTAACCTTCAAAAACAAAAAGCACCAGACCTAGATGGGTCACTGTATCCCAGGATACAGGAAGAAATTATACCAATTCTCTATGATCTCTTTCAGAAGGTAGAAGCAAAGAGAATACTCCCTAGCTCATACTATGAGGCCAGCATTATCCTGACATCAAAACCAAAGACATTACAAGAAAAGAAAACTGCAGGCTACAGATTTCTCATGAATATCTATGCAAAATTCCCTAACAAAATATTAGCAAATTGAATCCAACAATGTATAAAAAGAATTATGCACCATGGCCAAGTGGGAGGGTATGCAACATTCAAAAATTAGTTAATGTTGTCCTGCACATCAACAGGCTAAAGGGGAAAAAAAAAAAAAAACCACATCATATAAACAGATGTAGAAGCATTTGACAAAATCTAATACTCATTCATGATAAAAACCCTCAGTAAACTAGGAATAGAGGGAAACTTCCTTAACTGGATAAAGTATAACTACAAAAAGCCTACAGCTAACATATTTCATCATGTTTAATGTTCCTACTAAGATCAGGAACAGGCAAAGATGTCCCTTCTCACCATTGCTTTTGAAAATTGTATTGGAAATCCTGGATAATGCAATAAGACAAGTAAAGGAAAGAAAAGATACACAGATTGAGTCAGAAGAAATAAAACTGTTTGCAGAAGACAGTACTGTTTATATAGAAAATCTAAAAGAATCAACAAACTCCTGGAGCTAATAAGTATAGCAGGGTTGCAAGATACAGGGTTAATATATATAAAAGTCAGTTGCTTTCCTATGCACCAGCAATAAACAAGTGGAACTTAAAAACAATACCATTTATATTACCACCCCTAAAAATAAAATACGTAAGTATAAATCTAACAAAATGTGTGCAAGATCCATACAAAGAAAACTATAAAACTGTGATGAAAGAAAGAACTACATAAATGCAGAGATATCCATGTTCATGGATAGGAAGAGTCAATATTATCAAGATGTCAGTTCTTCCCAAATTGATCTATAGATTCAATGCAATCAAAATCAAAATCTCAGCAAGTTTTCTTATGGATATTGACAAACTGGTTCTAAAGTTTATATGGAGAAGCAAGAGACCCAAGATAGCCAACACAGTACTGAAGAAGAACAAAATCGAAGGACTGATACTACCTGACTTCATGACTTACTTACAGAGCTACAATAATCAAGACAAAATAGACAACAGGCAGAAATAAATGGAACATAAATGAGATCCCAAAATAGACCCACATAAATATAATTAGCTGATCTTTGACGAAGGAGGAAAGGCAATACAGTGGAGCAAAGATGGTATTTTCAACAAATGGTGTCACAACACCTGGACATCGATATGCAAATAAGTTGAATCTAGACACAGACCTTACACCCTTTACAAAAATTAACTCAAAATGGGTCATAGAACTAAGTGTAAAACATAAAACTATAAAACTCTTAGAAGATAACATAGGAGGGGTGCCTGGGTGGCTTAGCTAAGCGTCTGACTTTAGCTCAGGTCACGATCTCATGGTTCATGGGTTTGAGTCCCATCGGGCTCTGTGCAGATAGCTCAGAGCTACTTCGGATTCTGTATCTCCCTCTCTCTCCGCCCCTCCCATGCTCACACTGTCTCTTTCAGATAAACATTTTTTAAAAAAGGAGAAGAAAGTAGAAGAAAGAAGGAGGAGGAGAAGGAGGAAGGAGTGAGGAAGCAAGAAGAAGAAGAAGAAGAAAGGAGGAGAAGGAGGAAGGAAGGAAGGAGAAGGAGAAGGAGAAGAAGAAAACATAGGAGTAAACCTAAATGACTTTGAGTTTGGTGATGACTTTTTAGATCACCAGAGACACAACCCATGAAAGAAAGAATTGATAAGTTGGACTTCATTCAGATTAAATTTTCTGCTCTATGAGCGACACTGTCAAGAAAATTAAAAGGCATGCCACAGACTGGGAGAAAATATGTGCAAAATGCATATCTGATAAAAGACTATTCTCCAAAATACTCAAAGAACTCTAAAATTCAAGAATAAGAAAACAACCAATTTAAAATTGGGCCAAAGACTTTACCAGGTAGATCACCAAAAAGATATACAGTTGGAAAATAAGCATATGAAAAGATGCTTCATATCATATGTCATCAGGGAAATGCAAATGAAAACAACAAGGTATCCTCACATACCGTTAGAATGGCCAAAATCTAGATCACTGACACCACCAAATGCTGATGAGGATGTGGAGCAACAGGAACTCTTCTTTGTTGCTGGTGAGAATGCAACATGATGCAGCCACTTTGGAAATCAGTTTGGCAGTTTCTTAGAAAAGTAAATATACTCTTACCATATAACTCAACAGTCATGCTCCTTGGTATTTACTCAAAGGACTCAAATACTATGGCCAATAATAATCTGAGCATGGATATTTATAGTAGCTCTATTCATAGTTGCCAAAATTTGGAAGTAATCAAGATGTCTTTCAGTAGGTGAATGGATAAATAAACTGTGGTACATCCAAACAATGGAATATTATTCAACACTAAAAAGAAATGAGCTGTGAAGCCATCAAAAGTCATGGAGGAAACAAATGCATATTAATAAATGAAAGAAGAATCATATACTACACACTATGTAATTCCAACTATATGATGTTCTGGAAAAGGTAACAATGTGAGGACAGTAGATATTAATGGTTGCTAGGGTTTAGTGAGCAGAGAGGTTTTCCAGGGCAATGAAACTATTCTGTATGATACTATAATGATGGATACATGTCATTTACACCTGTCAAAACTCATAGAATGCACAACACCAAGGATGAAACCTAATGAACACTATGGATTTTAAGTGATGCTGATGTATCAATGTAGTTTTATCAGTTTGTAACAAATGTACCACTCTGATGGGGATGTTAATAATGAGGGGGCCTGTGCTTTTATGAAGGCAAGTAATTTTATGGGAAATCTGTGTATCTTCTGCTCAGTTTTGCTATGAACCCAACATGACTAAGTCGGTTGTTAAAAAAACAAACAAAAAAAAAAGTACTTCGGGGAGGTTTTATTTTTCATAAGAGTCTTCTGCTTTCACTACATGTGAATCTGAGTGTGTCAGTAAGGCCTCTACAGGATTTGAAAGGCATTCCTAAAAGTTTATTGTCAGGGAAGCATGCTGACATTGGAGGCCTTGAATCAAGAATTGGTAAGGTTCTGGTTGAATAATTGTGTAGATTCCATAAGCATAGGATTACTCTTTATGTGTGCATGTTTGGAAGAATTACAAAATACGAATAGTGCTCCATGTGAAGAGTCATATGCTAGAGCAGTTAGTTATAAAACTTGACATGTAAGAATTACCTGGGGATCTGTTAAAACTCCAAAGGCTCAAGCTATATACACCTCATAACAATTAGAGTCTAGAGGTGGGACTGGGGCACCAGTAATTTTTTTAAATTTTTTAAAGTTTATTTTTTTAGTAGTCTCTACACCCAGTGTGGGACTTTGAAATCACAATCCCGAGATCAAGAGTTAGATGTTCTTCCAACTGAGCCAGCCAAGCACCCCAGCACTGGTCATTTTTAAAGCCCACCAGGGAGTTTCAGTGTGCAGCAAAGTTTGAGAACCAGAGTTCTAAAGGAAGTGTTTAATTTTATTCCATCTCCATATGAAGATAAGTTCATTAATAATAATTCCCAAAGGCCCTGGTCTGTTAGTACTTTGCAGGTGTGGAAGATGTTGGAGGTGTTGGAAGGATACTTGTTAATAATAATTTTTTAATTTTTATTTTGAGAGAGAGTGCACAAGTAAATGCATATATGAGCGGGGGAGGGACAGAGAGAGAATCCCAAGCAGGCTCCGTGTTGTCAGTGCAATGCCCAACGTGGGGCTCGATCCCATGAACTGTGAGATCATGACCTGAGCCAAAATCAAGAGTCGGATACTTAACCGACTGAGCCACCCAGGTGCCCCAATAGCAATAATAATCAATAAAACTTATTAAATGCAAAATAAAATCCATAAGCCTCAAAGAGTTAATGCAGTTTCCAAAGGTGCTTGACAGAAAAGAAACAGTCTAGGCACAGGGAGAATCTGGCTTATTGGGAGCAAATGAAGCCAAGATTTTAAAATGTCTTTTAATGTGAAACACGTATGTGCCCCTGGGCCTGAAAACAAGCCACAACCTTCCCAGTTGTAGTGAAGGTTCCTAACAATAGAAATGAGTTGCAGTACAATGTTATTTAAACTGGAAAGTTCTGAGGAGAATTTTGATTTGTAGAGGAGGTCACAGATGGGAGAAGACAAGTACAGAGGGCAGAAGGGAGAGGCCATTTTTCTATGACTCTTCTGATTACAAAGAGAGCAGATTTAGCTGCTAGTTCTCATTATCTGTGTATGCAGAAGAGAACCAAACAAGCCTAACAAAATGAAAATTGATATTTAATCACAAAGCTAGAAGGTACCTTATTAAATTGACCTGCTTTGGTATTGAGATAATTAGTTGTGGTTTTAAGTGTCCTTATGGAAGCACTCTCATTCATGGTGGTGTGGACTTCTGTTTGCTTCTTGCTTAGGGGACATCAGTTCTTCAATAGAACTCTGTCAAACATTCTGATTCTACATGGGCTGTGTGGTTTTTGTTTTAAATTTGTATTTTAAAATAATCATAGATTCATAGGAAATTGCAAAGAAAAAAATGTGCAGGGAATTCCTTATGCATCCTTCACCAAGTCTTCCCCTATGGTAATGTCATATAGAGTTACGTCTCAAAACCGAGAAATTGACATTGGAATACTCCACAGAGCTTATTCTGATTTACAAACACTCATGTGTATGCGTGTGTGTGTCTGTGCATCTGTGTGGTTCTACGCAATGTCATCCTGTATAGTTTCATGTAACACCACTGTGATCAAGACACAGTGTTCCACGTGGGGTTTGAAGAACTGTAAAGGGATTCAGAATGAGTCACTTTGCTTGTGGTCCCACCAGCTTGAGTTCAGGACTTTTTATTTTGGGGGACTGCTGCTTTGTGGGGATAGGTAACATAGCTTTTGCAACATAAAGTGACTTTTCTTATGTGATCATCATTAAAGGTGTGTTTCTCAAGGACTATGTTTTGAGGAAGAAAATCATGGTCACTTTATGTGAAGGAAGTGAAATGGTAAATTTATACCCCAAAACATAAAATCTGTTAGTGGTCTTTATTTTGGGGGCAAGTCCACCAATTCTGGCATAACAACAATGGACTCAATCCTAGAAAAGTTCCTCTTCTGCCAAGTTTTAGAACATTTGAGACTTGTTCAATAAATGGTGCAACTTTCTAGTTCCTGAAACAGAAGACTGTCAATCCCCCAGAGAAATGCCCTGGTATGTTTGAAGTGAATAGGTATGATTCTACAATAAAGAAATGGAAAGTCACTTAATAGCATCTTCTAAGCATTGTCAACATATTAAAATCCGCCTCACTTATGTTTTATAGGTAATTGCTATCTCCAGAACTTAAGGATACATAGTCCTATCTACTATTTACATGGCGTGAGGATTTTAATTGTCTCTGCGCCTAGTATATCAAAACTAAGGTGCTTAGGAATGTAAGTTCAGTGTCATTAAACTTTTTGTTCCCAGGATTTGCTGATAAATCTATAGTCTAGCAAAACCGTTTGCATGCGTGGTTTGTTCTAACACCTGCAACCCAGTCTTTCTTGGAAACTCTTATTTCTGACATTATTTTTAGCAAGAGTTCTAGAGGAGAGAAGAGTTCTAGAGTGGGTTGGTTGGAAAACTCTGGTGGATCCAGCAAGCTCAGCTCTGATGAAGTAATGAGATATGTGATGAGAAGTGAAATGTCTAAACATCAAGATAGTAATTTGGCAAAAGCAGCTTTGGGGTGTTTATAAAAAGAATACATCCCACTAGATATAACTGTCTTAGGGGTCTTAGGGTCTTAGGGATTTAAAAGAGTAAGACTTCAGCAAAGCATTGTCTCCTAACACTGGGTTTGAAAAAGTCAATTTATTTGGGAACAGAGTAGCCAAAAAACATTAAGAGCCTTAAATATTCTGAAAAAGATAATCACAAATCCCACATTCATGAAAGAGCAGAGGAGGAAGATCATCATTAATGACGATAAAATGAAAAACAGAAAAGAGGCCAGATTACTTGCAATAAAAAAGTAAGCTTATCTTTATAGAAATGTGCTCCTGAATATAGATTTTAAATGTTAGGAGAGGAAAACCAAGGTTGTGTCAGTATGTGCTCCCCCTACACACCCATCTAATCTTCTAAGGAGTGGAATAACAAGGATGTTTTGAACAACTGTGCAGGAGTTAAGAAAATATTCAAGCCAAACAGTCTATTCAGTGGACATTGAGACATCCCCCAAAAATATTTGTGAAAGATGGCAAGTTGAATAGTTTTAGAAATAATGTCTTAGTCACTAAGCTTATAGTTAGGAGGGTGTCAGACTGCAGTGTATTGGCCTGTAAAAGACAAAAGCAGGTCAATGTCTTTGGTAACCAACTAGCAAATAGCAATAGTAGTCATGTCATGTGCCAAGTAAACACGTCAACATAGGAGTATTGTTATAAAGAGTAAATGAGGGAATGCATAGAGACTTTATAGCACAAGGCTTTTTTTTTTTTTTTTAGCTGGACTTTCTTTACCTCTCAGAAAACATTAACATCTCAGTTTGAAGCTAAGTTCTATGTTGTCGTCACAGGTATTAGTGCATTTTACTGCATGGTTATAGTAAAAACAAAATTCAGAGTATGTTTTACATCTATAATGTCTCACATCCATGCCATTCTTAAGCTAAGACTTCTTTTTCAGCTGTGGAGCAGTACAAACTCATGACTTTGCTAACAGTTCATGACTGCTGTGTAATAACATAACATGCACTAGGAATGTGCTGTATTATTTTACCTAAACATGTATTATTTTACCTAAACCTTAGAACAGTGCTGTGAGGTAGGTTACTATTTTATCTCTATTTTACAGATGGGAAAGCTGAGGCGGAGAGAGTAACTTGCGGAGGTCCATAGCTGGTAGGTGCTTGAGCCAGGATGAAACCACGCTCCAAGGCTCATGCACTTTACTGAAGTCTCTTCTTAAGGAAGCTATTGGTTAAGAGGGAAGTGAGGGTGGGAGTGGGGCAGCAGATTAGATACCTGAGGATCAGGTAGGGAAAAGGTTAGGGTACAGACAACATTCTTGCCCAAAGCTAAATTTCCAGACCAGAAGCTGTTATAAAGGAATAGGAGTCTGAGCCACAGAAATCAGTAAATGGAGGGGATGGGGTGTTCAAAGGGAAGACTAGGACCTAATGCATGTTTGAGGGATGACTGGAGAATTTGGAAATAGCAAAACAAATCTGTGAGCATGAAGGGGTGAGATTGTAAGAAACCAAACGACCTGAAAGACTCTTGGTGAAGGAGGAGCAGATTCTTGAGTGAGTAGGTGGATGTGTGAACTGGTGAGGCTTGGGGTGGATGTTCTTCTACTGTTTTCATTGTCTCAACCTGCCCTCGACATTTCCTCAGATATTCCCGTCTTCCTCTAGAGGCTAACATCTAGGAGCTTGAGGGTTTTCTTTTTAGTATGACTGAGTATTCAACTCCTGCATACTTAGGTTTGTATAGTCTGAGAGAATTACTTCAATAGGAATTGTATACCCCTGAAAAATACACTGCTCATGAATTATCTTTTTCTACAGGTGAGCACTTAATACATATTTTTCAATCTTAGGTACCATGATCTACCTCCAAGATACAGTATGCATTATTAATACTCTCAAATAGGTAATCAGAGCTCATTCCATACAGTGTGTGTTATACGTACTTGAATCTGACCAAGAATGTCTTTATACTTTCATAAGAAGTATTACATTTGTTATATTTTCACAAGCTTATGTTTTCCCCCCAGAGCCTCAAGTCCCACAGCAATTGTTAAGAGTTGTAGAGCACTTCTCAAATTCAAGTGTGCATAATTTAATCACCAGCCTGGTAGAACTATAACTTACTTTAGCCAACGCGTTCTTCATCCCTCTCTTACCCATAACTCCCTCATTATTGTTTTTTATTTCTCAGTTCTGAGAAAATGAAATTGCATTATGTGAAATCTATGCAAATGCATAATAGAGTGTCTATAGAAAACATCAAAGGTTTCTTTAAAATTCTATTTTGTTCTGAATGCATACATCATAAAACTTGATCTACTTTACAGAGCAAAAAGTTGAAACTACAAAGAAAAGAATCAGAATCAAGGATTATGAAAATTTAGATGATATCATCCAGGAAACTGCTTACCAAAATTTTAGCTACTTTTATAAGGATTTTTTAAAAAATATTTTCTAGCAGCGCCTGGGTAGCACAGTCAAGTGTCCAACTCTTGGTTTCAGCTCAGGTTTGTGAGATCGAGCCCTATGTCAGGCTCCCCACTGACAGCACAGAGCCTGCTTGGGATTCTCTTTCCCTCTCTCTCTGCCCCTCCGCCCTCTCTTTCACTCTCTCTCAAAAGGAGTAAACTTAAAAAATATTTTCTAAAGGCATATGTAAAAGTTATACGATAGATGTCTTGTTTTAGATTTTTTTTCCTGATGATTCTGTATTTTGTTACTGAAAACAAAGACCTATAGATCTCCATGTAGTAATGGGGCTGAGGTGCAGAACCTTATTAAAGATTGCTTTGTTACCTCCACCCCGTATGCTTTGCTCTTCCTTGGATGCAAAGGAAACAGTTCAGGCACCATCAATATGCCTGGGTGGTGCCTTTGTCCTCCTCACTGTGCAAATCTGGTTTGGAGCTGGGTGTACCTCTTTGAAGCCATGTTTGAAATAGGATTCCTAGTGAACCTTTTCCTGCATGCAATGCCAACCAACTGCCTACTTTTACTCATTAATAGGGCATTAACTCCCCAGTGGTGCCAAAATCATAAACCACACTCCAGGTCCTACTGTCTACCCATGAAATTAGACTAGATCATTAGACGTAAAAATATGTCTACCATTGAAAGACTCTGAAAATGTCTAATTTGGGAGAGAACAGTACCCACAAATACCTTAATGGAAAGAATGGCCAGATCTTTAGCAATGTTATGACAGCTAAAAGAACTTAATAACCGGCTCAGAATGTGTTCCCAACAGAGAAAGAGAGATACTTGGTAGAAACAGAAAAACATAACAAAGATAGAATTCTTATGTTGGCAGGCATATATATTTATACATTCTTCTGTGTTTAGGTCAGTGGTTAGAGAACACTTCTGGAAGGACTGTAGTACACAAATGTTTTCAATTTGAGCATGTACATTTCATCTAATTGGTCCCTGGGACAAGGTTCACTGCCCTGGATGTGGCGTGGCTAAATCTTTAAAACACACACTAATGAATTTCAGGTTTGGGACAGAAAATGGCAGCTCCATATCAGACAATCGTGAACTTGGAATTGTTTCTCATGAATATCTTCAATAGTTATTGAAGTGGGTTCTTCTGCCGTCTCCAAACACAGATAACTGTTCTCGCTCAAGATACTCCGTGCTTGCCTACTCTTAAAACTTAAATTTGGCAGATTCCTTCATTTTTGAAGGGAAAATTCTGGGAGAAAATATGGCAAATATCATCTGAGTGCAACTGGATATATCAAAGGGCACTTACAAATAACCTTAAAGCAACCTGAAGATTAGTTTGGGCTGAGTACATCTGTTTTGTTTTTCCTCTCAGCTGTTTGAAGTAAGGGAAAATTCTAAAGAAAGTTCTTTATTCGTACTTTTTTTTTGTTGATACATTTAGTAATAGTTTAGGGATCTTATCTCCTCTGATCCAGCCCACCCAAAAAGTCAAGGAAGTGGGGTAGTTGAATATAGAAACTTGTTTTATGTAGATGGGAAACAAGGAAGCTAATGAAGTCACAGACATCCCTTATTCGGAATGACAGAGCCTGAACTCTGTAGGACACCCCACCCCAGCTCACACACCTTTACAAAGACTTGGCTCTGACTAGCTCACAGGACAGATGCAGTTACTCAGCTTTGCACATGTCTCGCCTGTATACTCGGAGTGCGTCACAATTTGTATTGGGCCAGTGTGTGTGGGGGGGGGGGGGGGGGGGGGGGGGGGGTTGAGGGGGGGGCATTGATTTCATGAACTCCTGAGTCTGTGAAAGATTGACCATGGCCTGTACTTTCCTTATGGAGTGGGAGAATTTCTGTTTCTGTGTGTGATGCTGTGTTTCACCCCGATTTATGCCATTCATTGTGAGACTATGCACAGGCTGTGCAGATCTCCTATCTGGACCTCTGTTCCCTCCTTCCTAATTTAAGCTGGGTGGGCCAGATATCTCCTAAGGCCCTTTCTTTTTTCTTTTTTTCTTTTTTTTTTTAATTTTTTTTTCAACGTTTATTTATTTTTGGGACAGAGAGAGACAGAGCATGAACGGGGGAGGGGCAGAGAGAGAGGGAGACACAGAATCGGAAACAGGCTCCAGGCTCCGAGCCATCAGCCCAGAGCCTGACGTGGGGCTCGAACTCACGGACTGCGAGATCGTGACCTGGCTGAAGCCGGACGCTTAACCGACTGCGCCACCCAGGCACCCCTCCTAAGGCCCTTTCTAAGCTTCCAAGTCTGAAGTTCAGTTTCTTCTGCATGTAAGAGGCTGGGCATCAGTTGCATCAGTCAGCTAGAGAGTAGTTGGGCTGTCCTGCTGATAAACTCCCAGCAGATGAATGAATGAACAGCAACACTCACGTCCTACAGAAAGTTTGCGTTGGGCATGCTGGAATGCGCCTGGAAATCCTGGGTGATGAAGCACTCCTGAGTGCTAGGCAGGGCTTGTCAGATGACAGCGTCCCAGCAGTGCTGGATACTTCCTGGCCATGGTAGTCTGTTTGCAATCACAGAGCAGCATGAGGTGGTCCAGCATGCAGTCTGGCTTCGGAAGGGCTTGGGTTCCTCCATACTCCTGACCGTCCCCGCCACCCCAAATGCCCTACCTTCTACTTTGGCAAGTTACCTCACAGCTCCAAAGCTTGGGTGTGGTTGTTTTTCAAATGAAGCTAATATCTACTTTTCAGGGTGAAAAGCTTAAAGCTAATGTATTTGAAAGTGTCTAGCAAACAAGTGGAGCTCGATAAATAGGTAACTAAAACCAGCAATCTGTAAAAACCCCACAAAAGGTAACTTTATCTGAAAGCCAAGTTGGGGAAAACACTAGCCTTTGTGTAGTGAGTAACATTTCACAGAGTACTTCAGGACTTACTATCTTTTAATCCTCACAATCTGGTTTTACAGACGCAGTGATCCCAGCAAGTTCCCAGGGTCACAACACCCAGAAACAATGAAGTGGAGATTTAAGTTCTGCTTCCAAACTGTTGTGTTCCTTTTACAGTATGCTACCAACATGCCGTTACATGTGGTTGATATATTTTATAGTTGAGATTAAACCTCTGATGATTCTGAAAAGGGAAATAAATGATCAGAAATGGTACTAGTGCCTATGTGGGGGGGGGGGGGGTTCTCCCTGTGCCCTTTTTATATGACTACAGCTGTACTGACTGCCATTTAAGACAAACCCAGGAAGACCTGATCAGTTGCACCTCACTTTGTGAGATCTTAATTCCGAAACAGCTCCTGGGGGTAGCTGGAAGATTTGAATATCTCTGGGATGTCACTGTCCAGTTTCGAAATAATTTTATAAATGGGTTTCTTCCAGGAAGGATCTGAGTCTTTCCCTGCGGAGACAGCCCTGAAGAACTCCTGTAACGTCAAGCTGGCGATTTCCAAGAAGCAATCCGGGACCTACATTCCCAAAGAGACCCACAAGAAAGAAAAGACATGAGGCTCTGAAGCACCGACACCATGCAGATCTCAGTGCTGCCTGTTCCTGGGGTGGTGGGCTGATAAGAGCATCCCTGCTCTCCCGGCCCTCGACTTCTGCAGCCCTAAGAATCCCCTGCTCTCTCATCAAATACAAACTTTAAAACGATGGTACCCATGAGACAGCCCTGGGAAAAAGCATATTAGGGACACTCCTTATGGAGGAGAAGCTGATTCTACTAATGGTGCGTTTTCAGTAAATGAGAAACGGACTCTGATCGAAATTAAATCTGTGGTTCAACGAAGGTTTTTAGTATTCTCTTCCTTAGTGCCTAATGTGGAAAGACATGCGCCCAAGTTTACAACTGTTTTCCTCATCCCACCATCCTTTGGGGTTGGATCCAAAAGACTTGGAACCATTCCTGCTTCCCAAGTCAAGCACCAGGTTGAGGGGGACTCAGTATGTTCCAGGCCCTGACACAGACTGGCATCGTAAATGACGGGGAGTCCCACAAGTCCTCCAAACCCAGTCTGGCCCAGGGCTTGCCACCACCGCATGCCAGATGGCCACCCCACACGCAAAGATGTGGCAGCACCACCCTGTCCACACACCCTGACCCCACGAGCCTCAGAAAGGAGGCTCAGGTTCTGACAGAACGTCTGGTGAATACCAGCATTCTTCCCCTTTGTTGGAAGTATCAGAGTCACGTGAGAGGGGTAAGGCGAGGGAAGGGTGGTCCGTGACCTGCAGAACAGAATGCCCCCCCAGCAGAGCTGTTCGCCGCACACAAGGAAATGCGTGTCTAGATTAGGAGTACTCACCGGTGACATCTAGGCCACTTGCTCACCCTTTACACCTTACCCTCTAAGGTGCCACCAGTGTGCCTTCACAGAGGTCCCCAAAGGACCCAGAAACTGGAGTACTGCTTATTCATTATTTCCAGAGAGAGAGAGGATCTGAGGTGACTTGTCGTGAAAGGCCCACAAGTAAAACTGATCAAGTGAGAATAAAGAATGAAATGATGAAATGAACAAAAATTGTCGTAAAGATAACGGAGGCCAAGTCTGGGTGCGGCAACAGCGTAGCATGTAGTCGGATGCCTCCTGACACTACGGGGAGAAGTTCCGCAAGTTACGGCCAGTTGTAATTACAGAGTATTAACTCTCAAATGGCACAACACCCGGCTGGCTTCTGCTTCCATTTCAGATGAAAACTGGCTGTACATTCAGCTTGTGATATCTACGTGTTGCCTAAAAGATGTTGAATCTCATCTGTGTGGGTGATACAGAGATTGGCCCTAGGCTGCCCTGGCTCTCGGTGATTTGCGGACAGACACGGAAGGAGATCTTCTGGAAAACTCAATCACAAAGGGAAGGCACTCATCAGACCTCAAGGGATCCATAGTCTGGCTCCAACTGTCAGAGCTTGATTTTCCTTACCTCAAAGTCATTTCCTTTGTTATAGTGCATATTGAGAGCTCGAAAAAGTTCTGAGTCTCGGAGTACCACCAGCATTTTGGGATTTGTGACACCATCTGAAATCGCTTGCCGGGCGGATTTTTCCATTTGGATGTAATAAAACTCACGAAAGTTGCTGAACCACTTGATCATCTGGGAGGTAATGCAGCGGTTGAACTGTACAAACAACAGGGCCCATCAGGTCGGATGTTTGCCATGAGGTGCTCAGAGCCAGAACTCTCAGCCTCCATTTCAACATAGGGCTTAATAAGGATGGCTTCAGCCACCATGAGAAAGGGCTTTCTTTAAAAAAGAAGTCATAGCCGTTTTCCTAGCCTTTTCACTTGTACACAGAAAAATCCGAATTAGCTATAATGCCGATTAGAAAATACTGTTTTGATGTACTTACTATATTTATGACTTTTTTACCCACGAAAAGATTTCCATGGTGTCTACTGTGACTTTGGGAGGGTTTCGGGTCAAAGCCAGTGTGGTACCAGCTTCTGCTGCACCTGGGCAGGTGGCACAGCAGCCCCAGAGCTCTCTGCCGAGTCAAGGGCAAAGGAAGGGATAAGGGTATAGAGCAGAGAGCAGGCCATTGCAACCTTGGAGTTGCAGAATGAATCGAAATCAGAGCTTGGTGCAGGAGTCAACCAAGCAACCGAATATGAGGGAAAGATCTGGAAAACACAAAGAAGTAGATTCAAAGTATTAGCTGCCCTCTCCCAACACCCAGGGTAAGGGAACAGGCATAGTCTGGTTCCAGCTGTCAGAGCTTGATTTTCCTTATCATCATGCTTGATGTCTACATACCTTCATTCAGTGTTGAAATACAGCAATTTGAATATAAATGTGACAATGTCCAACCCTTTACGTATTCTATCTTTTTCATAGTCTTCCCCAGCAGAGATAAAACACTAGGCCAAAAATGCCATTTACTTATGTTTCTCTCTCCCCTCCACCCTTCCTCCCCATGGGTTTGTATATCTACAGGTCAAAAGCTTAATATTCAGATACCCAACCTTTGTGGCCCAAAGTTATTCATACAGAGTCTCAGCCCAGAACTGGAAATTGTACCGATCCCATCAGCAACATGAAGGGGACCTGAGGTGCACATAAGATGACCTAGGACTTGCCTCCCACTGGGCAAAACCATTCCCTCTTGGGAGTTTTTCAGAGGCTTTCAGAGGTGAAGAATGACTTTACCTGGACATCAGGGAAATAAGCCTTCAGCAGGTTGGAGCTGGGGTAGCGTGTGAAGAAAAACATGAGTTTGGCCTTCTTCAAGTGACCAGGATTTAGGCCCTCCTGGATTTATCTCAGCGTCAAGGAAAACTAACACCGCTTTATCACGTGATTTTTATCCGTTAATCCAAATAATGACTTGTCCTGTTCCTGACGGTTTCTTTTTTTCTTTTGTTTCATTTTTTCTGGGCGAATGGTGTATTAGTTCCATTCTTCTGTCTGATCAGATAAGCTCTTTCTTAGGGTGCCTGGCTGGATCAGTCGGTAAAACCAGTGACTCCTGATCTCGGGGTTGTGAATTCAAGTCCCACACTGGACCTAGAGCTTACTTAAAAACTAAGAAAAAAGCTTTTGCTTTCCAGATGCTCAATACCATATATGTACCGTAAATTTGCAGAATTCAAAAAACATTTTGAGGTGTGAAAGTTCTACAGCCTTTATGATATCAAATACAGTTTGTTGTACTTTGTGTGTGTGCTTTCAGAACAGGATGGGGAAAGATGGCAGGTCTGTCCCAGATTTCAAAGCCCCACATAGAGATTTCATTCCCCTTCTGGGCCTCAGTTTCTTCATCTGTAAAATGAGACAAGCCCACTAGATGGTCCCCATTCTATTCGCAGAGCTCCCTTTGCAGTGTTTAAGCCAATGAACACCTAACCTGCCTGAGTACAAGAGCACAGTTGGCTCCAGCTCAGGAAGCTTGAACTTCTCGGCTGTGTCTGCTCCTCATTTGCCTGGCAGAGCTTCCCTCACCCTTCCCAGTTCAGCCCAGACACCCTTCCTCTGTGAAATATTTCCTTGCTGAATGAGGCCTTCCTTACCCTGGGCTATCAAGGCTTTTTGTACAAACCTCTGTTGTAGCAATGACCTCCCTGGAATTTTTACTGCATGTTTGTCTCCCCATTTAGACTGTGAGCTCCTTGAGGGCAAGCACCTTATCTTTTCATCTTTGTATTCCACATGCCTAGCCCGGTGCTAGGAACATAGTAGGTGCTCAATAAATGTTGGTTGGATGAAGGAATGAATGAGTGATTATATGGTCAGCCTTAATCCGTACAGAAATATGGAAATGATATTCCAACCCATACGTCACTCTGAGAACAGATTGCTTCCCCTCTAACAAGAGAAGGGAGCTGTGTTGTGACTGCCTGGCACCAGCATGGGAAGGAGATAAAGGTTCTTGCACGAGAACACATAGCATTCCCAGGGACAGTCCTGGGGCTGGGTGAGAAGCATTATACAGGGTAACCTTGGCGCTCAGGTCGGAGACCTGTACCTTTAGGATGATTAAGGCTTCTCAGTAGGACATGCCAGTTTAGCCAAAGGAGACTAAACCAACTGATTTTCAGTTACAACTGGCCCTGGCATCCAGGCTGCTGCCTAGAAGACCCCTGCCCTTGCCTCACTGGACCAACTTCTTATCCTTCTTAAAGGCTTACAAATGCTGTGGAAAGAATCCTGGATTTAAGAGTCCAAAGACTCAGTTTCAGATACTGATTTCGCCACCTATTAGCTGTGTGATCTTGAGCAAGCCACTTATCTTCTCCGGGCCTCATTTCTAAAATGTGAGTATAGTAGTTAAAACTTGTGCTTGGGTTTGAATCCCGGCTCTGCATGTGTCTGTCTTGTGACCTTGGGCAAGTTAGTTTGCTTCTCTGTCCCTGCCTCCCAGATACCTGATCTAGAGTGGCCGCTTGAGGATTGTGATATAACACAGGCCCACAACCTCTTATCCAAAACGCCGGGCCAAATGGGGTTCGTATTTCAGAAGTTATTATTTTACAACGGTAATATGGTGCATAGACCATACGTCAGTTAACGGCCAGAGCAGGGGCTGTGGCAGCAGTCTGCAATCCAATACGTTAACATTGCCACGGCAAATCGGAGGACTATTTACACTAAGTGGGATAGTCTATAAATAGCCTCCAACCAGTGCAGGTTGGGTTTTGCCACCAAACATGTTCCCATCCACCTTAGGGGAGAGAAATCACAGGGATGTTCAGAGCTCCGAGTTTCAGAATGGTGGCTAAGTGCCGGTGGACCCTCACTTGTGAACTGTTGGCCGACCTCAGGGAACGGGCGCAGCAAACGCTGCCCCCTACCGTCTCATCACTCCCGCTCTACCTGTCTCGTGGGTTGTTGTGGGAATATGAATGGGTGCTGGCGCTCGGTGGCTTTCCCGGCCGACGGGAACACATCTCTAATGCTGGAACCTAGGCAACAGGGATAAGGGGACAGTTGGGGAACCAGGAAGCTGCCTGGGAGCCCCAAATCTTTCCATGCAGCCAGGCCCGGTCGATGGCCTCCCCAGCCTCCCCAGACTCTGAGTCCACTCCTCATTTTACAGAGCGGGGCTAGGCACGCAGTAGGTGCCCCCAGAAATACCAGCATGCCCCTGCCAAGGGAAGTACAGCAGAGAATCTTTGGGCTCTGAGTCCTTCAGGCTCTTCCACCACCGCCTGACTTTAACAGGGAGTCTTAACCAGTGGCCTCTTACCAAAGGCCCAGACAGGTAGCCTTTGTCAGCTGGGGCGATTTCCTGGCAATCTCTACACCTCCAAGAAGATTTCCTACTGCCTGACGAGGCAGCAGTGGCCGGTGAGGTGTTCTTAGCCTTGGTTTTATAGTCAGTCTGGCCTGCCTGGGAAGCACGCAGCGGTGCCCAAGAATTAGGGGTGTTTCCAACACCCGTGACAGGCAGAGGGCGCTCGTGGCATTTAGGACACAAGAGCCCACCCTCTTGTGGCAGTGAGCTGGTCCCACCCCATCCTGTGGCCATTAACACAATCCACCTACCCCCCCAACGCCCGGGGGGGGGGGGGGGGGCGCGCCCCCCCCGCCCGGCGCCCTCTGCCAAGAGGACACAACCGTTCACGCCTGGATATGCAGCTCCACAGATACGTTGACCTCTGGAGGCCGAATTACAGTCTGCTTATGAGAAGCAGCGGTGTTGAGCTCAGCTCGCTAAAAATGCAACATCCAAAATAATGTCGTCAGGAACTTCACTCCCACAAGATGCTTGCTGGAAGAGGATCTTTGGTCATGTGAGTCTGAGGCTGCATACATTCTCCTCTTAGAGCTTCACATAGGACATCAGCATGTTAAAGCCTCTAAGAAGTCCCACAAACTACCCAGTAGTAGAAATAACCAGTGTTTAATAACCAGTATTTAAGTAACCGGTAGAAATAACCTACCCAAGCTGCTTTCTTCCTATTTACCCAAGCTGCTTTCTTCCTAATTTAACAACTATTAATATCCTGAGGGAGGGTTACTCTGGGCAACACTATTTGAAAGAGTGGAGTCTGCCTAAGGGTTGCAAAGTTTTTGCAATAAGATCCAGACCCCTACAGCCCAGCCTGGGCCCTTCCGTCCTCCCCTCAGGGGCCCCCCTTCCCTCTACATACCCAGCCCCCAAGCTCTGGTTCTCTCAGCTGCAGCTTAGAAGCTGTTCCTTAAACTAAAGGCTTCTTACCCCTTCCAGCTGCCTCTTGAGTCTAGTCCCTCAGGAAAGCATCCCCTTTTCCATCTGCCTCAGAAGTTTCTAGTCGCTCATAGCTTCCCTGTGAATTACCTAGACAATGCAGGCTTTTCTGCCTGTGCAGCCAAGGGATTGGGGGAGCCATGCTTCAGATGAGGTCATTCCCTCTCTCTGTTTAGCTGTACAGGCCGCTGACAACCGAATTATGGGGTTTTTCCTTCCATAGAAGGAAGCCCATAGTTTGGAAGCCCATTTGAGTTTAAAAACAAAACTCTTTTAGACCCAAAGGAAAGAGTCAGTAGTGGTAGGATCCAATGTGTCCCAGAAGAAAGTAAATGAATCTTCCCAGTATCCTTAAATCCCAAAATGTGGATGCCACTTTCTCAGAACCTAAAAACTATGAGCCCCAGGGAAGGAAGGCCTGGAAGCGACAGTAAGAAGGCCGCCAGGGAAGCAAAGCTATTTAAACGCCATGGAGTTATTTGTCCCCACCTCCCTTCATCTTCCAGATTTCCCATTTCTCTGAGCTGTGGCACTGAGAACCTCAGTTACTAGTAAAGGATATGTGGACTGAAGAAAATGGAAGCACATCCGGGGCACACTGCAGGCCGCCCTGTTCCACCTTCACTGAGGGAAGAAGGGGCAGTCTTTCCAAACCGGGGGAAGTGAAGGGCAAGGGGTACTGCTGTTGGCTCAGAACCGATGGTCGCAATTTGACTGCTCCCCAAGGTCGCAGGGCAGACTCTGGGGAGGAGTGACTTTGGGAAGATGAATCTTGGGGAAGACTGCTATCCCAGTGGTCACTGGGTCCATGACTCAGTAGCTGGCTAAGAATCTGATTTTCCTGGATGTGGGAAGGCACAGTCAGAGGACAGTTTGCTGGCCGACCCTGATAGGGTCTGGGGATCATTCTTGAAGAGACAGGGTACCTGGGAGGATCTAGAGGGTTGGCCAATGATAAGTTTCGCAACAGGACCCCAGTCTGTGGCTGGGCCCTCCTGGGCAAGGTGGCAAAAGGAAACAGATCTTTACAGATACCTCTCTCAGGAGGCGAGGGCTCACTGCTACCCTCTGGCACAAGCCCCCGGAAGCTTCTACCCAGCTGGGTCAGGTGGCCCGGTGGATCCAAGAGTACCTTTTGTAATACTGAGTCCACAGCTTGGGACACGGCCCCGGTCAATTCTTTCCTCAGAATCTCCAGCAAATCCTGTGCTCCACAAGGAAGGCACCTGGGCTCCTCAGACTGGTATTCGACTTCAGACGCTCTGTGTTTTTCTTTCCGGGAGAGGTCCCCACGGGAACCCTGATGGTGGTGATCACTGTCCATAGCCCAGGGCCTAGATCCATAGCCCTTCCTCTGCTTTACGCTTAGAGGGCCCTTATCCATCTCAGAGCCTCCTGGGTCCTGAGCTGCGTCCCTGGGCTCAGCAGCCTGCAAGATGTGCTTTTGCAAATGCCTTAGCTGTTGCTTCAGCTGATAGAGCTGTTCTCTTACCCGAGGGCCCCCTTTCCTGCTGCCATGGTCTCCGACAGGGCCCGGCTTCAGAGGGCCTTGCTGCGTGGGAAGGCTCTGCTTCCTCTTCCGCTCCTGGGCCTTCTCTGGGCAATACGGACTGTCCCTGGCTTGGGCATTGCCTGGCACCAGAGCATTAAGAGAGAGGCACATGCCTTGGACAATGGTCTCCACTCTGGCCCTCTTTGCTTGGATGTTCTCATCGCAAAACCAGTCAGGGTCAGCAAAGCTAGAGCTGGGGACAGGGCTCCAGGGAAAGTGGGGGTCTCCGCCTTGCTCTCGGGGGGCTGGACTTCTTTCACCTTCCATACAGGGTTCTGCCAGGTGGGAACAGGCCCGGGACAGAGGAGAAAGCAAGCCAGAGTTTGGATCCATCCCCTGGCTCACAGGCTCTTGCTCAGAAGGTCGGTTGTGGCTCTGTGAGGGAATTCTTTCTCCCGATGTCCTCAACGAGAGGGGTACCTCGAGGGAGCTGGGGGTTCCTCCTCCACACTCAGAAGGATGAGAAGCAGCTGTCAAGGATTTAGAGTCTGATATGCCAGAACTCACAAATCTGAGTAGACTCTGAATTAGAGACAGGGAGAAAACAGTGTATGTGATTTTGAGCAGTGCTCTTCAAACTTGCGTGCGCAAATAACCCAGGGATCTTGTTAAAATGAAGATCCAGATTTAGCAGGTCGGGGCCGGGGCAGAGATTCTGGATCTCTCACCAGCTCCCATGAGATACTGTGCTGCTGGGTGGGACCCTACTCTGAGGAGATTCCCAAGAGGGATCCTTCAGGGAGGAATTGTCTTGCTAGGGCATAATTATGATAGAATTATAATAAAGGTAATAGCAGCAGCTAACTGCACAGCTGGCATTATGCCAAGAACTTTACATCTATGACCTAATTTAATTCTCGTCACAAATCCCTGAGAATGTTGTCATTCTCACTTACGGAAATAGGCCCAGAGAGGTTGAGTTACCTCCGGAAGTTCACACAACTAGTCAGTGGCAGGCTGGAGTCAAAACAAGGTCTGTCTGATTCAG